CTAAGCCTCTTTCTGTTCCCCCATTGCAATACAAAGTCTGACTCTGTAGCTTTAGACTCTCTTTGGCTTTTCCCTTCTTTTTCCATTTCTGAAGAGATTACCCATTTGAAATTTTACTTAAAAAACAATAGAAAGCGCGAGAAAATAAAACAAAGTGGAAGAAAATTTCCCCAACATGTAGAAAACTGAAAACTGACCTCAAGATCTAAGGAGATAACTGTTGAAATGAATGCAATTTATCTCAGGCAACCCTGCATTTTCAGTGGATATACGATGACCCAAAAACGAATTAGATCGACAACAATATCAGAGTAATCCTTTGCTCTGTTTGGTTGTTGATAAAGTACAAAAGAAAAGAAAGCAAGGAACCCAATTGGATTTAGGACTAGTTAATCTTAATTCCATTGAATCTCTGGGTTTGTTTCTCTTTTTCTTCGGAACCAAACAGACCATGAAAGTTAAACAATTAAAAAAAAGGAGAGATTTGAAGGAGAAAACTCAATTACATAGTGATAGCAGTAGAGCAGTAGGCCAGCAGCAGAGACAGAAAAGAATGAAGAAATTTGCCCTCAAATTTTCTCCAGAATAACGAGAAGAAGAAAAACTGAACAAGAGTGTATGCTGGTTTTTGTCTCTGAAAGGCCAAGAAATCAAAAAAATCGGCGCTTTCTTTGTTATCTCCACACTCAAAGCTCTGAGAGTCTCTCAGTTTCTCTCTCTCTCTCAGAGGAGCCTCTGTTTCTTTTGGTTTCGCCCTACTTTATTTTGATTTGTTTTTGTTGCCCCTCCAATCACTCCAGACAGAGTACAGTATAGTCTCTATTCCCCATTAGTTGTTAGGCTTATTTACTGTAGTATCCTGAAACTTCGGTCATATATTACTTTATTCTCTTGAAGTTAAAATAATCCACTTAACCTCCCGGATTATGATTTTGTGTTCCACTTTACCCTCACTATTATCTACATTAATAACTCTATCAATTTTGATGACGTGACATGACTATTTTAGTCTTTTTGCAACAAGTGTTGTGTGTGATGCTTGAGCCCACTTTTTTTTTTCCTTAAGTGGAATAAAAAAAAAATTGGTTAGAAAAAGTAGAATAAAATAATGTAATTTATTTTTTATTTTTTTATTTCTCTCTCTCTCCCCATCCGAATCTATCTGGTTCTCTTTCAAATTCAATCCCCATCCTCAACAATAACAAAATCTTTTAGTTCTTCACACCCAAACCCAAAAACTCAATTCAACAATTTCCCCCATAAACAACTCCCAAAATAATGAAAAATCTGATTTTGGCCCTTTTGATCTGCCTCATGTTTGCTTTGTCAAATGGGTATGGAGGAACCAAGGTCGGAGGCAGTCGACATATCGAAGACATGAAGACGAACAAGGAGGTTTAGGAGTCGGTGAGGTTTTCGATGGCGCAAGACAACCGGAGCCAGCGAAAGAGCCACCAAAGCAACGTCAGCGAAGGCATTCAGTTCTTGGAGGTGGTGGAGGTGCTGCATAGGTGGATGGTTTCTGGGATCAAGTACTATCTCAAGGTCTTTGTCGTGAAGATGGTGAAGCTTGGAATAGAGAAAGAAAAAGGGAGAGATAAAGAGATATAGGGAGGAGTTGTTGGGGAGGGGGTCAGGTACAGAGAAGAAAGAGGGAGAGAAAAGAGAGAGGGAGGGGAGAGATGTAATAATTTTCTGAACTTTTTCTTTCCTATTTGTTATATTTATTAAAATAAAGTATTTTATTATTTTTAACACATGACATACAAGAGTGGGTCCTATTTGTGCCCCATCAGCGTTTTAATAGAACTTTTTAACAGAGTTAACAGAGGAGGGTAAAGTGGAACACAAAACCACGGTCAATGGGGTCAAGGGGGTTAAGTGGGTCATTTTAACTTTAGGAGGGTAAAGTGAAATTTGACTGAAGTTTCAGGGGATACTACAGTAAATAAGCCTAATTGTTATACACTTACCTATACATCTATAAAACGATCCTTACCGTCAGATACCAAATAGAGGGCCAGATAGGTTTCCTTCCAAGTGTCTGAACTATTTTATTTTATTGTATTTTACCTTATGATCCTTTATTTTATGGGAGTTTCACTAAAACACCCAAAATGGAGGTTGAAATTATAAAAAAACCCAATACTCAAAACACTTTATAAACACACCAAAAACTCATCATTACACACACTCAAAACCCATTTATAAACACCCCCAAAAAGTTGACTTTGGGGTTGATTTTGGGTGTGTTTCTATGTTTAAATAGTGCTTAAGTTTTTTTATAAATACATGTCTAGGATTGGATTTATTTATAAATTTGTATTATTTTATTCTGCTAACAAAATAATAAATAGGATAGGTAGGGGCTGAAGCTCTTGCCCTTAGGAGAGACTTTCATGTAAAGGGATAATATTTTTCGTTATCTTTAGCTAATAACGCAATGACATGCGAGATAACTTTTCCCCGTGTCATTGCATTATTGGCCGAAAATAACAAAACAATATTATCCCTGTTACAAGAAAAAATTTCTGCTTGACCTTGTTGCTTCATATTGTGGTCGTGGGGTTGTGTCTCATTGGCTCTATGCACTCATACTATATAATAGGGCACATTGATACTGAGTTATAGGCTTGTAATCAAGTGACAATGCCTATATCTTATCCGAGTTAGATCCTACCTCTCCTACTGTATATAGGCTTTAAGCATATATATAAACGGCTTTTATTTTGGGTTTATAGTGTTTAAAAAAAGGCAAGACAACAAACGTGGGTTAGGTCCGTTTACCGTGGTGGTTTCGCTCCTCTTACACCTAAATTCGAGCCCCTCTCTGTAAAATAGGTTAGTTTAGAATAATATAGACTCTTGCTTGTAAAATAAAAAAATATATATATATGAAGAAGGCGAGGCCATCACACTGTACTATATCTATATTAATCCTGTCACTTGTCTGAACGGATAAAATTGAAGGAACCGTAACTGGTAGTTGAAGCGAAAGAAGAGGAAGTACAAAGTACAGAAGAGTTGAACACCACAAAGCAAGAAGCTGTTACACTTAAATCAGCCCAACCCAATATGAATATGAATATGAATATGAAGAAGCCCCAGCCCAATAGTATTGATTCTAGAAAGAGGCTTGTTTGACAATTAATTTCGTCCCAAAAGTCCTACTACACAAATAAATAAATAAAATACAAATTTATAAATAAACCCAATCCTAGACATGTATTTATAAAAAAATCCAAACCCTATTTAAACATAGAAACACACCCAAAATCAACCCCAAAGTCAACTTTTTGGGTGTGTTTATAAATGGGTTTTGAGTGTGTGTAATGATGGGTTTTGGGTGTGTTTATAAAGTGTTTTGGGTGTTGGGTTTTTTTATAATTTCAACCTCCATTTTGGGTGTTTTAGTGAAACTCCCTTTTTTATGATAAAACCTCATACATGTTGAGTTTTACATATGATTAAGGTAGAAATAATATCGTTAATCTCTTTAAATTTTAACAAAAATCTCGTGTTATTTAATATATTAATTACCTTGCAAGCCAAAGCAAAAGGAATTAGCTGCTACACACTCGATGTAAAAGGCAAATTAATCTCAATGTTACCAACCAATTGCAAGTTAACAACCGAAGAAAAACTCTCTCTCTAAATGGAAATGGTTGGTTTGTTTGTTTGTCCCAACCAAATAATCAATCCCATTAGTTCCATGTTCGTTTTCATGGTACAAAAAGTCTACATGTGTTTTGAACTCTTTCATATGTTAGGAGTTGGAGTTGGAGCCACCTAGCACAATACTCTTAATTACATCTATATATATGCAAATAATTGTGTGTGATAATATAAATGATCATCATCAGAACTTAAATATCATTCCAATACTCAACCTTAGACTTGGTAACACTACACATTCAAAAAAGAAACGAATGGAATGAAGCTGAAATAGACAACACACCAACTCAGCCGGTACAAATTAGGTGACCCATCTAAATTCTGAGCCAGCTATAGGCTATGGTTGCCCGCTGATATTGCAGGACCACAGGCAGTTCCAATTTCCCTTTCATTTGGATTTTAAGCTTAAATTTTACCTCTTGTATCACTTCACTTGACTTCCACACTCCAGCTCCTCCAGCCCATTAATGTCCATTTAAATTCCTTCCCTAATGTTAAGGGTTGCATGAATAGAGATGGGGAATGAGGTTGCTTTATATGTTATGTCTTTTCCTAATTCTATATCAAAAGCATCCACATTACCCTTACTAACAATAACAAGGAGCTTTACATTTCCCAATTGAAGACGATTCCGGTGACTCGGGGTGTATAACTTCCATATACACCTCCCCATTGTGAATGCTCTAATAATAACAAGGAGCTTTAGTTGCGGGATAGAAATAGCCGGACACAACACAACTAGTCATGATAGTTAATCGACCAGTCTTCTCTCCTACAACTAAAAGAGAGAAAATACATGTAATAATAATAATCGAAGCTCAAATTGCATTCCAATTATTATAACAATCCACTGAGCTATTGTTAGAGCAGCATAAACAGCTCATCACCTCTCATTCCTAGCAAATTCAAAATAAAACCAACCAACAAGAAAGCAAAACATTCACTCATCACGAGCACATGAGGCATCATCAACATGAACTTAATGAATAAACTAGTAAAAAGAAAGTGCAAATTTTATATACAAAAATGCCAACAACAGTAGTTAAAGATTCTAAAGAAGACAGCAATGGTGGGTGGGGACCCAGAGGCAAAGACACAGCTGTATGGCAAAATGCCAAAGCCACCCTGTCAAGTGTCAACTTCATCTCATCAACCACCACAACGTTCACTTTGGGGTTTCGGGCAGTTCAGCCTCCTTCGAAAATTGAAAATTAAAATCTGCAATAACACCTTCGAATCTTTCTCTTTCTCTCTCCTCTCTTTGAGTGTGTATAATATATATACCCCTACCACCCACAACTATTGTCCTTACAAAACTCTGCCTCTCTCAAACTAGATAGCAAGTGCAGAGCCAGAGCTTCTTTCTTTCAATCTTTTTTTTCTTCTCAAGTCTGAGTTTAAGTGAAGGAGCTAGAAATGGAGGCAATGAAGATGAATGTTTTTGTGGCTTTGTTGGTGGTTGTGATGGTGGCCTTGTCTGGCGTTCAAAAAGTAGCTGCAGCTGATTCTCCAGCACCAAGCCCAACTTCTGATGCCTATGCCTTTTTCCCCACTTTCTTCGCATCTCTAGCAGCTTTGGCTTTTGGGTTCTTCTTCTGAGCTCATGACTGCATTTTAGGTTCATTTCATGGTTGCTTGCTCATTTCTCTCTCTCTCCATTTCTCCTAATCTCTCTCTTTAATCACTTGTATTGAGTGTTTAATGAGAGGGAGCAAGGGGGGGAGAGAGGGAAAATGGGTTGGGATTTTCTTTTATATTATTTGGGAATTTCAGGTTTAAATTGAATTATTTATTGTTGATGTTGGGATTTGTTTGGGTGTGATTGATGTGTTTGTTGGTGGTTTTGTATCATATATGATGTATAATTAAATGTTCATTTTGTCTAATTTTGTTTTTAACGGGGGAAAATGCCTATGGGATGTTAAATTTAGGATAATAATAAAGAGATCATGGGGAAGAATGTGATTCATTGTACTAGTGGTGGATAGATTTTCCCTATCATTGTATCTGTGATTCATTGGTTTGGTAATAATAAATTCCATTTTTCTTTTTTTTTTTCTTTTTTTTTTCTGTCTGTAATATTTCTGAATAGTTTTTCAGTTTCACCATAAGAAAATAGAAAAGGATTATATAGAAAGAGGAAAATATAAAGGGTTGTTTGTGGTGGTGAATGGTGATGAATCATGATGAGCTGTAGCTAGCCAGTTTGGCAGATTCTGATCCCCCTTGGTAGCATCCTAGCGTCATGGACAGGTAGTCCTGTGATCAAGATTCAAGAGGAGGCTTGAGTCCCTCTTACCTAAACCATGTACTTGGATCACTTACCAAGAAAAACAAAACCAATCGATCAAAAAAGAAAAGAAAAGACAAAATTAAAAAACCAAATACTTTGATCCTGGGAAAAATCAAGTTTGTGTCTTGGAGAGCAGCCTCAGATGTTTTAAATGAAGAAAATGACTTGATGCCTAAAATATCCTATATCTTTTGTACAAGAATTTATTGCATTGTTTGCGTGTTTTGTCTTCAATACAAAGGATAAAAAGGATATTCTAAATTTCGGAAAAGGAAATCGAACTCAAATGCAAAGCAATGAAGCACAACAAAACTAATCGACGTCTGCAACTGCAACTTATTGTATTGTTTGTGTGTCATTGACTAGTAGGGTTGGCTACCCATAAATCATCTCAGGGTCATATTCAATCAGTTCACTTGGAAGTCGGAACGGAACAAAAAATATTTGCTCCTCTCTTTAAAACAAAAAAAAAGGTAACGTCTTATCTTCTCATACAAAATTCAGAGAAGCAATGATCAATCACATGCTTGTTGAGGTTGAGTTGGTGTAAGAAAGAAAGAAAGAAAGAAAGAAGAAGGAAAGAATGGCAGGGCCATAATTGACATATGGAAAATTGCCTTTCCAGAGGAAGGCAAAGTGGAGAAGTTAGAAGTCTGTCGTTGTTAGTGTAATTAGATCCCCATAGAATAGTTTACCATTTTAAGTTTCCCAGTGCTCTGCTCACTCACTACTAGTTAATGTTGCCATAATCACTTTGATCATGCATGCGTCACACAAGAACATGATTATTCACCTTCTAGAATCTACTTCGTAATTTGTATCTTCTGAAGGACAAGTGCTATGCTAGCAGCTAGCATGATATGCTTTATCATTACTTGAACATGATTCTTTTCTTACACATTATTTAGGCCCCAAAAGTCAGCCCATTTACATAGCTGGCCTTGTTGTTGTGACCCAGTTACTATTTTGTTGGAGGTGTTGGGCTCGAATATTATAGGCGTTGAACAAATACAAAAATGAAACTGAAATCATACCATGATCCCTTTCTTACACATTATTCATACAGAATTCGAATATAAATCAGGATTTAACTGAATTCCTAAAATGGGATGATAACCTCTCCAAGTAAAGAAATCTGCACATCAAATTTATCCTTCAACAGTTCATAATTTCATATACATCTTTAAAATCTACACCTGTTAGATCTAACTATTTCTTCCCGGACAGCCTATTTATGTTTACATCCATTTGAAAAAATATGGCAAAATTAGCGGGCTAACATTACATCTACAATTCTATTTTGCAAAAATTGTATATAGAGTCGCTAAATTGTATCGCGGCCACCTAGAGTTCACTTGGGCATTTCATTCAACAATATATTTACCAATAAATGACCAAGTGATTAACTGCCGTCTTGTTTTCTCACCCGCACTATGGCTTCTCTTGATGCCTGGAGAGGTCCTTATCAGCAAAATGCAAAAGCCTTCTTAATCTCAAAACCATGTCACAGTGAAAAGGCAGTGCAGTTCGCCTCTCCAGGTATGCTGGACTTACAGTCATCCAAGAGAGTGCATGAAGCTCTGCTGCCAGGGATTCGAGAATTACATGCGTCTCAATTTCCAAATCTCTAGCTTCCGAGCTTGGACTCCTTCCCACTTGTTTGGTATTACCTCTCATGAGTTTTTCTTGGCTAAAGTTATTACCTCCATAATGATCAATAAGACTGACCAAAAGAGTTGAAGGCCATTCTTCTTTCAAGTTGCTCCTATAATCTCTCCTCATAGTAGGTACAGCTTTTGAGACCACAAAACAAGTAGAAAGGGGAATAGCAGAGCCTTTACTGTGAAGGAGATGGGCTAGTGGAGGTGATTCAGCAGTGAGGCATGTGGGCAGCTGAAGTGGTGTTGGAGGGAGGAAACGCATGCTGGGTGATGGGATCAGAATGTAAGCAGCAGGTGTGGAACCAAGAGACTTCACAGGTGTGCCTTCCAGATACCCTGATGAGCCCACACCAACACCACCATGAGCTCCTGCACAGAGTGGAATCAATATTATGATCTGACAACTTCAAAATAACTTCTCTGATCCTCTTGGCAGATTATGTAGTCAGATGTTTGCAGTGGCTTGGTATCAAACAACTCATGTGATTTAGCTAACTGAACTATTTTCATAATAGACAATTTTCTATGCATACCAAGTAGAGAGGAAATAACTCACCTGGTGATTGCGTATCTGCTGGAAAAACAAGATGTAAAGAATGATCAATTGCAATTGTAATGAAGCTGATACTTTGCACCCACTGAAGCAAACTCCTTGAGCTGTCAATCAACTGTGTGCCCATAAGCTGCTTTCTCACAGAAGGTTGTCCTAAACCACCTTTCATAAATCCAGATATTTTTGAGTGAGAGCTGCCATACAGAGGACCAGGTGAAGAAGGTAGGGTTCTTTCTTGAATCAAACTCATCTCCTGCTGCTGCAAGGAAGGCCCGTTACTACTAGCAGACACTCCATCAGACACAGATCGCCGCAGTTGCAAGTGCCATTTTTTCACTTCTGAACCCCCAACTGAATTAATTGCTTTCTGCCACTCTGTTCACAATCAGATGGGAAAATATGAAAATGAACACCAATGCCAATTTGAGAAAAGAGAATAAAATGGTTTCAACAAATAGGCTGTACAAACCATATTCAAATTGATTGCCCCACCTCATCCTACCCAACCCCCCTCCAAAAACAAAAGGTGATTGCAAGAAATGTATTTACCAACAGAGAAAAGGAACATATCTCTTGATACAATCTTCACCTTACATATAATTCATCTTCCATTACAATTCATCAAAGAAATTGCACAACACAGTTTCCACTCAATTAGTTGCAGCTTCCTAACAGAACCTAAACACTGCTTGAACTTTAAACAGAAAAGCATAAGAACCTTGAAAGCTAAAATGATAGGGATGAACTCTGCATACCTTGGTATTCAAGTTCGTAGAAACTTCCAATGCGTGCAATCACAAAATCCCTCGGCTTGGCAACACCGGTATCCAAAGAGCAAGCCTGCAGTATTTGACAGCCTTGCTGCAGAACTTGTACAAAAAGACATTCCAGTCCCTTTGTGTCCTGTCTACTGCTAATTCCACCAAAAGGGAATATGTGGCTATCAAGTAACTCCCCCCTTGAATCTGTCCAGATGCATATTAGCCAACGCCAATCCTCTGTCCATCCGTAGCAACAATGTAGGCTAGGAGGGATCTTATCTAGCTCTGATCCATCAGCTTGAGAGCCTGATCCAGAATCCGCACTTCCACCTAAACTTGTACTCTGCATAAAGCCTCCACTGATGTCATCGGACAATGCCTTTGAAGGTTCTGATGATAAATTACCAAAAGCTAAAGGTGAAAACGCACGCTCCAGAGAACCGGGTTCTGCAAGAATAAAAAGTGGTTCAAACATGTAGCGAGTCTCATCTTGAGAAAAAATATCTCCAATTCTGTTGGGATCGCAGTTTGCTGCTCCAGTTCTTGTTGTTTGCCATGAACTATCCCAGCTACCAGTCCTCAAACTAGCATCCATCTCACCCTCTCTTGGAAGGGAATGCCCAGTAATTCGAGGGCCACCACAGTCCTTCCACGTCCCTGGAGTAGGAGAAGACATTTGCGAGAGGACTGTATGGGATCTACTAGACAGCGATGATTGGACTGCATCACTAGAGGCTCCCCGTGATATTCGGCGAGCCTTGTTGTAAACAGTAAAAGCAGTCTCCTTGAGAATTACAAGTTCATTCAGTGACGGGCTTGTAACTTTAAAAATGGCATCCACTGTCACAATCTGCAGTACCAATTTAGGAATACCAAACCCAGAGAGTACTAAAATATTTGATATTGATGCCTCGTCCACTGTGGCCGAGTAGCTTAATGCCTTCGAAACCTGACTGTACAATATAGATCTCCTTTCTCTGTCTGATTGGAAAATGACTGATCCAATAGCAACAGAAGATTCAATGACAGTCTGTAAAATTGCAATAGGCTCAGGGAAGGGGCACACTACATAAATCACCTGGATGCATAGAACCAACAAAACATGTGATGTCAATCAAAAGCAGTTACATATGCTTCATGATTATATTGAGCAATTAGCGGAAATACATTTTCCAACTAACTATAAAAATAAGGGAAAATGACTTTGCAGCGAACTCAAAAGAGTCTCAAATAGATAACTTAAGTAAGCTTTGCACTTTAGCATATACTTAAGAAGCCTAAATATCAATTTATCCAAATTATAGGAACAAAAGGAAATTTGCAAAATCATGAAAGAAAAGGAAAGGAAACAGGTCTGAATACAACAATAATTGAAGGCCTAATTCTACTCACCGTAGAAGGACCACTACTTCCTTCTTTTGCATTTGTGGACAAGCAGTGACCAAGTTTCAAAGCTTTGAGAGCCTTTGAGAGAGACTTAAGGTAGCTTGTCAAGTCCCAACCATTCGAAATAGAAAGAAAATAATCGCTTAGTGAGCCCACAAGAGATGCATTTCTACTTTCTATCTTCATTGCTTGAGGACAATCAAGTAGGACAAACCCAGACGATGGCCTTCTCCCAGAGTCAACCTCCATTTGGCTCCCAGAACTCTGGGGTAAATGAGTTCCCAGTTTGCATGTTTCATAGACTGGAAAAGAAAAAGGAATAAACAGAAAGAATAAAAACACACAGAAAGAAAAGGGGGAGGGGTTTAGAGATAGAGTTAAGGAACAAATAACTTATCTCCTACTAAACAAAGAACATCAGGAACCATGCAAATTCACCATAAATAAACGAGTTATGAAGAGCCAAGAACAAGGCCTTCTGCAAGGCCAAGTTTTATTTTCCCTTTAATTAACAACTCAGAAATTCCTCTTTTAATTAAAATATTAACGCTTTGGGAGAATAGTATGCTTTCTCCTAAGATAATTCTTTAGTCATCGTTCTCCTTAAGGACGGTCTAACTTATCTTGTTTTAGGGGTTGACCAGTCATGTATAACTCTAACATAAATTATACTGCGTTGAGCCTTTTCCAGAGGCTAGAGAAAACCCCATGCCCCTTACCTAACTTGCCCCTATGAGGGTCAGGGCAGCTGCCTGAAGCAGAATTATTCTGTAAAATTAGTCAATCCCTTGTTTGATTAGAGCTTTGTCGTCCTGACTGACTGATAGCATAATTTTTCTTCTCCACTGAGATAATGATGCAGAACCAAAAGACAGAGAGAACATTGAGAGGCAGAAAATGGAAAATAGAAGGGGAAGCAAGAGAAGAAGAGAGAAATAGAGGATCATGGGGGAAATATCTAGTCTATCAAAAGAGTATACCATAGCTAATTTATAGAGGCCAACTCAAAATCATCTCAAACTAAGTTCCCTAATGAAACAAAAATTCCCAATCAAATCCCTAAAAACGTAGGATCTCCATCGGATAAGGAACTTTTGTAACAACAAAATTATTGTAGTGCAGGAGGATTATTCCTTTCTTTGCTATGATACTTCAGTAAATTGTGCAAACAGACAATAATACCAGTTCAAATCTTGTAAAACGGAAAAGCAGATGATAATAATCTTCATTGAACCAAATTATGACTTACCAGTTCCTAGTTGTTGGAAAAAATCGGCAGCAGCAGATGTAAGGGGATCAATGTCTGGACATACAACATAATAAGTAATCTGCAACAATTAATGAACAGAAAGTTGAAGAACCGTTCGCATATACAAGCATTTCAAATATTCTTCAACACTAGACATGAATAATTTCTATCTAGCATTTGTTGCAAATTTCAATTAACGTACAGGTTTTTGTAGAGCATATGGCTCAAGCGGAGCCTTTTCCCAAAGTTGCAGAGAGCTTGCTGATGCCTTAAGCCAATCATCTTGATACCTAATACATAGATCATCATTTGCACATTTCTGTTATATGTGAATCGTGCAAAAAGACATAACAATTATCTCAAATATGACAACAAACTCATATCCTCAAGAAAAATCAGTAAGAAGATGCCACAACACAAGCATTTCAACAAGCTATTCTCAATTCCAATCCAACTATGCATTTTCATCTGACCATCCATAAATAGAGAACTATTCACAGTTTCATGAATAATGAAGAGGTGTCAAACGAGGTGTTTTATCACTCACCACAAAACAAGGCCTACGCCTTCAGGAACTTGGACTCCTACACTTACGTGTATATACAAGAAGGTATCAAAATAGTTGGATAAAAGTGCTAAATGACACTAATCTTTTAACACCACAAACATCATGTATCTAGCTTTCAAAACATGTCCCACAAATTTTACACATAAAAAAAGTCAACATTGCCCCAATAGATGGTTGATTACAAAATTTGCACTTAGGCCCCGTTTGGTTCACGGAACAGATTTGCGGGGAAATCACTTCCCATGTCATTTCCCAAGGGATAGGAAATGGAAGATTCATTTCCCACATTTGGTAATGTTGGAAAAGTAACTAGGAAATATCACTTTATTTCCCTTCCCATGTTTGTTATGAGTAGAAATGGAAAACAAAGTTTGTATAATTTTCCAATTATATCCATATTAAATCAAATAAAAAAAGAATGCATTTAATGATATATTGTAATTCTAAATTGTTAATGGGGACAACATGGTCATGAAAAATGTGTGTTTTATGTTGGCTCATCTTCCCAAACTTTCCCATGAGGAGGGAAAACAAAACCCAAGTTGGGAGGAGGGCTTCACTTTCCCCACTACTTTCCCAGGTGCCAGACAACGATTTCCAATGCCTGGACTTACCAAACATGGGAAAGCAATTGATTTCCCATCACTATGCCTCCTTTCCCATGAACCAAATGGGGCCTTAAGGTATTTCTCTCCTTCAATGTCTTTTGCACAATTCCAAAAAAATGCTTCTTACTCAAGGTTAATAAAGCTGACCATGATGGATGAGATTAAGGGACGCTAAAAATGAAACGCCGCGACACAGAGGGAGTTACTGTGTCAAGGAAAGAGAATTGGGGTGTTTAGGGATTGATACAGGTTTTAGAATAAAGACCGAACAAAACCAACACTTGACGCTTTAGTCCACCCAGCCATCTCCCCTCCCAATTGAAAAAAGATAATACCATGTTACATTATAAAAAATAAGGCTTAAAAAACCCTTAATAATTTTTTTTTTTCATCCGAAGGGGCTTTTTAGTTCCACGGCCCGGCTAAGTACTGACTGATTTTTGGGGCAAAGAAATTTTAGATTTAATTTCTAGGGACACGCCTCATCCCTAAAGGCATACATTTTTTGGTACATCCTAAGACATACACTTCGGCCAACAGGCTCCCTTTGCAGAATTTCATCACACAGGGAACAACAGTGTGTTTCCCCCTCGCTCCGCCCTAAAGCACACCTCACAAAATCCTTGAGAACACAGATAAATCATATTACAGGAAACCGTATGAGATGTACGGTTACATTACCAAAAGATGTTTAGTTATTTAAGGTTCAACTAGATGAAAGCATCATTGCACAATTGCACAAGATAAAAATAGAACTCATGAGGAAAATGGTAATATGGAGTTCAATAATGGGGTTCCTCATTGATATAGCATATTACTTTTGGAAAGAAAGATCAGTTGGTTCTGATCTCTTTTGCTATAGTACAGTTATATAATTTTTTTGGTCTGGTTTCATATCCTATGAGTTGATTATAAGGCTAACTTATATTTATCTCTGGGGTGTTGTTCGGCTATTCTGTGTAGGAGGTCATAGAATCCTCCATATTCTGTTGGAAACTCTCCCTATATATGAATCCTTGTTGTTAAACAAAACAAATTTATGTCTAATTTCACTTCCAGATGTTGTGACACAAAAGTGGTATCGGGATACATACCCAACGAGTATAGCAGGCAACGGAATAACAAAAAGTGTTGGTCTTAGCCGGGAGGACATCTGCAGATCAGACTCAGAAGTACAGTTTTCTTGGTTTGATCTTCTTTGGGATGTCTCGTCCACTTTTGCTCCATCCATTGCACTAGAAACTGTTGAAACTCAAACTATTAGGTATAATGAAATCAGCAATATCATCAAATACATACAAGTATAAGTATACCTTTAAGGCAAGTTGATCCAGCAGAACAAGATGGTGATGGGCTCAATGGTTCTACAATAGAAGGAGCTACAATACTTGATGAATCTTTACATTCACTTATAGTGGACTCAGCAGAATATCCATCAACCGTGCTTTCACCTGATTGGTTGCGACCTCGGCACCAATCAGTGACAGGCAATGGCCCATCCAAAATACCAAATGCAGATTTTAAGGCTGTCTTTATGTCAGACTGCAGCAAACTAATTACAGATGAAGCATGCACCTGGGGGACAAAGGTAATGCTCTGATATCTGTTTCATCAATATAATCCCATAATAAAACATAACTCCATAATAAGGTCACCTACAAGAATCCACAACGAAAACTAGTAATATACATATGAATATTATGATTAACAACCTAATAGCCTTTCATATTATATATTGTTTCCAAAAAAACTCAAAACCCAACCACGATGTTGCTTTTCTATGGAACAAGTAATAACTGGAATAAATATGATGGCATAACTTGGTTTCATTGAACAAAACCTTAATAATGACTTGGAGGAGGTGGTTTTCAAGAAAATTAAAAAGTATCACACTATAAACATTGTGACTGAAAGCATGATCATAATTGGCACAAGTTATATCCTAATATAGATGCCAAAGCACTGCATGCTCATCCAAGCAGTCTATTAGGACTCTAGCTTGATTATCCAAGAAACTTTCGACATATCTAGTTAGTTCTTCAAATACATTTTGCCTCCCTTAGACTGGAGTCTCAAACTACAAACCATAAGATGAAACTCTTACAAAGTGATAATTGCAATTTACGAGGCATCAAAAGTAAGTAATTTAACACAGTACCTACATAGATCCATCAAAGACAGGCACTAAATACTTAGTACACTAACCCAAGGTTCATATAATAATCTCACATTAGAATTTATCCTTAATGAGGTTTGAAAGTGGAATAATAGTGAGCAACAGCATGCTATTATAACAAGGACGTCAACTTGCTAAATAAAAGAGCATTATATGCAATAAAAGCTTACATCAGCAGAGAGTGGATCAACTAACTCGACACCAGCAATGTCCAGGGAATGACAAGAAGCCAGTGTACCCCCACAACCTGCATGGACCATAGACGGCCCACAAGAAAATCCCTTCCTCCATTGCTCTTGTAACGCCAGCCAACCATAAGGACCATCACTACAATCTGAGTCCAGGGACAAATCAACAAAGGAAGTAGCTTGCTGTACAAGTAATGACAAACCATCAAGAAGTTCCTGAAGTGGTTGTCTCCCATAAGAAAGCATACTTTCATCATTGAATGAAGTATGAGGCAAGGACGAGCTAATTTCCATACTAGATGAACTTGAGGGTTTTGGGACTCTAGGAGCTCCTACGGAGCGCCAGACACCAACAGGTGCATTGAGATGCCCATCTATCATTCCTCCATCAATATCACCAGCAATTCTAACGGGTATCGACTCTTTCCTCCTTGCCTCATACTTTCCAGATATGTTTTCTGGCATGACAGTTTGGTCACCTGGCAGCCTACTAAAACCAATAGATGAGAGACTACTTGAAGACAACAAGGTGTGTCGTATTCTACACATTGATGCCTGAAATAAGATGCACTCAATTTCAGTTGCAGGAATGGTCCTCATAGATAGAAAGGAGTTTTCTGATTCAAATGTGCCTTCAGTCATTTTCCTCTGTGCCGCTTTGACCGCATTTGTAGAATTGAGAACAGGGAAAGGAGATTGTGCCACCCCATCATGTGCGACCGCAATGCCATTACTACTTGTAAGCAATCTTCTGTCTTGTTGCTCTTTTCCACTCTCCACATGAGTGTAATAGTTCTTCGACCGGAAAATGTTGCTTGCATCTTTCTTTCCAGCACACGGTTTAGAATTTGACGGCATGCCAGTCTTCTCATCAAATCCATCAAAGCAAGAAGAAGGTGGTGTTGGACCATATGTGTAAATGCTCGGGCTTGAATTTGAACTCTCTGCTTGTCTAGATTTGGGCAAGTATGGGCTTCTGAAAATGGATGATGAGACTTCACTTGTAGGTGTTTCAACAGCTCCATATTCAGGAGCAAATGTCATCAGTGCCTCAGCTTTTATTATGTGATCAAATTCACTTATATTAGATGCTGAAGAGCAGTTCACTGGACCCGAGGACAAAGCACTATTTATGCCTTCTTGATTTTTTATGAGTGTCTCTTCCATGGCTGCAGGAGGGGGAGGAATAAAGCTTTCAAAGGATGCAAAACCCTCGGACAAAAGCAACTGATCAGAAACATCCATCACCCCAACTGGGTTGTCAACTACATCGCCAAAATCTGGTGCAGAAAACATGAGAGCCTGAGATTCAGCAGTTCCTGGGGGCTTCACAAAACAAAGAAACATGATCAGATCAAAGAACCACAATCATGTCATTAAAATGAAAGGGAGGACAACACAATGCAGGTCTAAGCGCACACGCTTACACCACTATCAAATAAAGGTTGCCCTTTATTGTCATAAAAGAATCATTAAAATATAGGTTTGATCAAGCAAAACATATTGCAACACAAACTGCAAACAAGAAGCCTGTAAAGGAAGTTCCTGGAAACATTCAATGCTTTATGAATGTATACGTAAATATCTTACAGGATAAGAAAATACCTCTCCAAAAGGCAAAACATCACTTTCAAATAAGTCACCAAAATCTCCAAATTCATTAATCAAAGCATGGATATCAGTGCCATATCTGTCATCACCATCCCAATCCCAAAGAGATCCAATCTGGTCATTTGTAACTACAGTGATCGCTGAGTTGTTGACTTCCATGGAACCAAAATCAGAGTTGTATGTATCCTGCAGAGAAGCACTTGTAGCTGTTCCCACTTCAGCAAATGACTCTGCCATCCCATCTCGCGGACGCTTAAAACCCTGTGGAGAAATAATAATCACTTATCCCACAAACTCATCCCAAATAAACAAACAGTAATAAAAGTGGTACAACATAGGAGAGCTAATGTAAACTTAAATTTATTCAGTAAATGGACTTTCCATCCTTTTTTCATAAAAAATGAACTTTATTAATCACTTCAAAATACAAGAGCAAAGCCATTAATAAAACTCGTCAGCCCAAAGAAATGGTGAGATGCTTAATGGCAGGTATAATATTCTAGTGATATCATCAATGTTAATGAGAGAGCTGAACTTTATTAATAGCTTAAACTGAGAGAACACCGAAAACTAGGTTAAGTACAGCCCTCCAATCTGCAAAAATAACAAAATACGGTATTTCCCAAAAATTATAAGAAACCAAAGACCAAAGTGAACTCCAAATGGTCTTTCCCATAATGCTGCCCCCCACAGTTATCACAAGAAAACAAACCACAAGGTTTACACCCAGCTACATGTTTTTATAAGAAACAACTTTCACCCATATTATATCAAAAGTGCATCAACCAGTTGACCAGGAATCCACCTGAGCTACATATAAAATTTTGAAAAATTAACAGTTATCACACAGGATATAACATCGCTATTAAAGACAAAAGACCAAACAACACAGATGTCATGCACACCATGAATCTCTGTCTGCACTCATGATATAAAGGAACCTTTTCCATAAACGCATAATATGCATCACAAACCTAAGATATTGCAAACCGTTCTCCCCACTAGCAGTTGGATTTTCAAATGCTAGTTAACACTATGTTGAGGAACGTAAAATTACCACAATGGAAACTTGACAAAATAAAATACAATATGTAACTTAGTGGTTCCACTACCAATAACACCGAGGCCTTTTGTGATAAAACCCCAAACCTGGTGGGCTACGCAAGTTGGGGACAGTATCGGTGTTGGATCAGTAAGTAGTGTGTCAATGGTCCGTCTCTCTGAAATCTTAACACACTAGTCCCAGCATGTCGTGAATAATCCACTTAGCTGACTAAACTTTAAGATTGCTTATTTAGCTTGAATTACAATACCAATGTGTGTCCATATACCATAGGTGAAAAAACTAAAGAAAAAAAACTAAAGAATAGATGATGTACCAATTTGGAGATATCATTTCCCAACCGATTATTAAAAGATAAACCAGACTGTCTACAGGTTAAAGAATCAGCATCTGCCTCTAGTTCACTGGCTCCTGTAGCCATTTTGTCATCACTATCGCTGGAGCTGCTGCTTATGCTACTAATGCTGCTACTATTACTGTTGCTACTACTATTATACCCACGTTGTGTGCGTATCCCATTGGTTTCGTTGCATTCCTCCATTGGTTCTATGCTGTCAGAACTGCAGAAACCAGAACAGCCATAAATGAGAGATATAACATTTAGCAACAGTGTTTAGACCCTATCTATAATCATATTGTTATAATGAACCTCAAAATAAAAGAGTTTAATGACCAGACCAAAACCATAGTCAAAGGTCAAATATATATTTTGGAACATCAAACCAAATTAAGTGACATAAGAATAACAAGCAACATTATCGATCTAACTGTTCTGTGTCAAACTGATGAAAATCGGCAACCATCATAGTCTTCTAACAAAAAAGCAATTTTACATTTACGTGTAAGTGTATTGAAGGGGTAGAGAGAACCGCAAAACAAATTAACTTAATATACTAAAACTGCAATAATGGCAAAATAAAACATGTTAACTCGAGAAACGCTTAAGTAGAGATAACAAGTCACTAACCAAAGCATAAAGAATGATGAGCCAGGCATGGAGGGTCCAATCCAATTTTGAAGCCAAAATCTGCAAGTTCACATCAACAGTTTTAGGTCAAGTTAAATTTACGTGTTGACAACAATATAAAGAGCTGAATAAGAATGGGCAGTGCAGCAAGTGGACCACAGATTATAATTCTAAACAGCTAAAGCTTGAACCTAGCACAAAATAGGAATAAAATCATATTTGAATGAACTAATGCTTGGGAAACACCCATGTTATTTTCATGCATGCACGCATTAAAAAAATGGATAAAATAAAAATACTAATGATTATTCCCAAAATAGCTCAAGTACGGACATATAAACACATCCAACTGAGTTAGACAATTGCCTCCCATTTGGGCGAGGCTCCAAATCATGTTAAGAAATCAATCTCACGCTCAGAACAGAAAAATTAAGGTACCTTTTCAGAGATGATCCGGCCACTTGCAAGGATGGGACAAGCACTGCCTCAGCCGGATATACAAATGTTTTTTCATAAACTGATATATTATCCAATGAACCCTTCTGATCACCTCTTCCCAAAGAAGGAGATTCAACAGGGTGATGCTTCACTACATTCCTTAAGGAATTTGAGTTTGATTGTAAGGCCCAGTCACTTCTAGGTCTAGGACAGCCAAGGGTAACTTCAACATAGCAATTTTGCCACGTCAGTTGCGAACCAGAACCTTGAGAGACATGGTTTGGCAGACCAATGAAATTTGAAGTCTTAAGCTTGCTAGAACTACATGAACAAGAACAATAAACAAACATTAATGTTTCGTTTTTCTTTTAAGGAAAAAAAAAACACAAAATGAAGAAGTGATATTTGAAATAGTAAGAATAAATACAAGATAAAAGATTAAATTTTACCTGAAATACACCTGTTTGACAAGATCACCTGGACAACATCCAGTTAGCCTCCCACATATTCCATGAGGAGAAACAATAACTGTGACAACCAATTTCAAACAAAATCAGTATAGAACCAATTTTCTAGTTATAACATAAAGAACCTTCACATTTTCAGGTCAAATCCCACTATAGAAGGTATGGTTAAAGAGTTCTAGCACACACTTTCTCAAAGTACATTAGGAATTAGAGTCGAGAGTATAGAAAGTAGACCAACCTGGAAGCCCATAACACGAATTTTGGGAAGAATGCTTTTGTACTCTCTCCAAATCATCACTGGAAAGTGCTCGGATATGCCTATAAAGAGTTATAAATAATAAAAGACATTAAAATAAGTTTCAACAAGCATTACACAAAAATTATTCCTAAGTTGGATTTACACACTTCGCAGATACTAAAGCATGCACAAAGATTCCCTCTTCAGTGGCAGCAAAGATAAACTCAACTGTAGGCTGGCCTCTCCTGCAAAACATCAATCAAGAATTAGGCAATTCAAAAGGCATCATTAAACTACCTATTAAGATGACAACTAACTATTGCACAATCACCCATCCATGCACACTACACACACCTAGAAGAGAGAAAAGAATAAGTTCTTTATCATTTATTTTGATCTTTCTGATCCTCAGTTGGGAAGTTCTCCTTTTAGGGAGTTACTAGTTGTGACCATGTTGATATTAAAATATAATAAGACATGTTTAACAGGAGCAGTGGGACACCCCCACCCCAAAACAACAACAAATGAAAATGCAGCCAAGATAATGTATTGATTCTAAGACCATGTTGGAACAAGTGTTAGTAAATGCAAACCACAATCCCAAACACATATTTGTAATGATAAAGAAGTCAGATGATTTATGAGAAAAAGTACATATATGATTAAGTTGGGGAACAAAGGGTACGATGATTGGAGATAAAATAATAAAATCATTCAAGAACAAATTAAATATTGCTCATTTATGTTAAAAGCAGGTTATCAATGCTGTCGTTATTACAGCAAATACTACATTTTAATTTTTAGAAAGCATTTCTACCAATGGAACTAGCACTCAAGGCATAAAACACCTGAGAAGCTCTTCACTTTGTGATGCATGGAACTTTGAAAATACATCTCCAAATCTCATGTAGGCTAGTCCAGACAGCGCCCTGTGAATACCAAGAAAATAACTGTCAAGATATCAACAACATGAATTTTACTGCTTGGATTTCAGATGATTGATGAGCAATGACCTTTCTATACGATTCCTTAAAGCCTGAGAAAGGGCAGTCGCAACCTCTTCTGAGTCCCCAGGAGACATCCAAAGTCCAGAAGCAACAACTTCCTCAAAATAAATTAAAATCAGTACATAACTTTGCAGATACAATTGCATACCACAATAATATATAATTTGGCTATGGTACACAACAAGTATTTGATAACAAACAAAGTAACCACCAATCCATAAATAATACATGCAACAATCATAACAAAAACCGAAGAACACATAGTACCTCTTAATTTAGAGACTGCAGCTTGAGCAGGGTCAGCATAACTTGAATGACGGCCAGGAAGAAAAAGCCAGAGTTTAATTTTCTCATCTGTGTATGTTGTACAAAGCAGCAGTTAAATACCAAATATGGCCAACTATAGACTATAGGACACGAGGAATATGGTAACTTTCTCTCTATTCTGTCAAACAAGTAACAAATAAACATCCAATGTAACAAGTTTTAAGCTATTAGGTGAAGAGGTCTACTTCATACTTACTACTTATTTCATCAAACCAACGTGGGATTTATTTCTTCAACATTGTCAACCAAACAGTTATAAGTTATAACAGACTGGCATGTATTCAGGAACTAAATGATCCATTCTTACCCGGATTGTGCAAACCTTGAGATGGATCCCAAGGCCCAACAAAAGAGTTGGTCCATGTGCTGAGAAATCCTTCCTTCTGCAACTGTAGATGCGATGAAAGTACCAGCTGTGTGGCAGCATCTTTCACACTGCTTAACATCAGAAAAGAGTGAGCTTTGCTAATGCTTAGAGAACATGACAAACTGAGCCATCTGCCTAACTATTAGGAAACTAAAGAGAATTTGGGGTGTACATTCACCTTTTATCTGGTTGTGGGATCAACTCAGAATCATGAGGGAGGAACTGAAACCATGATATTTGATGAAGACCGCCCTGTTGAAATGATCAACAACAGTTACAATAATACTATTTTTTTTTTAAAATCATATATTTCAGGCCTTCTATTAAATATGATAGCTTACAACACCAAAAAGGAAAAAGTCAGCACACCCTTCAAGTAAATATTGTTAGAAAATTGTAGTTTTTTCAATAAGATTTAGAGAGTTACTTTAACCCATTGAAACCCACCAACTTTCCTTCTTTTTCTTTTTCTTTTTTTCTCTCTCTCCCCCTCGGCACATTATCTCTCTTCCTTCGCTCCGTCACTGAAACCGAATGAAAAAGAAAATCTTCTCCACACCCGACCATCTACTTTCTCTAGCTCTGCAAAGATAAAAGGCTTTCTTGACGACTATACATTATTTTCTCCAGCAGTGAAAACGGGGTAAATTTGGAAGGGGTTTTTCGTATGTTAATATCAAGATTCATCCATCTTCTGTATTACTCCCACACAAGGATTTTCAATCAAGATCCACTTTGCAATTTAATATAATAAAGCAACGAATAAAGCATAAGAAGCTTTCAAAACCAATCATATTTGAGTTTACCTTATGACAACGACAATTTAATAACAAATGATTTGTGAATAAACAGACACATGCCTCCATGTCGTTTTGCAAACTCAGACTTCAAGAGGAATTTAACCTTTTCTTAATGGGGTTTCTATGAACAAAACTAATCAGTCCATTGTTGTTGTTTCCAAAAGGTTTAGGGTTTAGCCTCCTAAGATGTTAGCGAGCGATTTTGAGAGAGATTAAAGAAAGACATGGTTGTGAGTGATATATCGTGGTCCCAGTTAATGTCACCATGGGTTACACCTCTAACTCTCAATATTCAGGTGTCATGATTATTAGGTTTCCTTATTTGACGGGTTACCATGATGAAGGGAGGAAACGGAACTTTATGGGTTACAGAGAGAAAATGTACAACTAATATAGAGAGAAATTAAAGACATTCCTCGTATATTATGCAAGATAAAAGCAGATGTTTCTTCGGTTATGTCAGATGCATTTCAGCCCTTAGATGGTAAAAAATTTAGGGGCTGAAAATTTGTGTTGAATTATGCGGTTCCCGAACAGGATCCATAAATTAGTTGTAGTTTAGGGTTTTTATCTCTAATAGTTAGTTTAGGGTTTTTTATCATTAGCCCTTAAATTTATTTCTTTTCCAGATGTTCATGTGAACCTCGCATGACATGATGTGCCTAGTGTCATAGTATGTCGGGTTCCCTTAAGCGTCGTAAACTATTTGGGCTTTTCTAACCAACTCGGTCATTTGGGTTGCATGACACTTTTGGACTTGACTAAAATTGAAGGGCAAACAACTTGTATTAAATAAGACTGGTATACACCCTGTTGCAAAGTTATCAAATATAACTGCATCCAAGCCATTAAGCAAATATTAAAAATGACATCAAAGAAATGAAACTTCAAGAAATCAAAGCTAACAGAACGAATAAAACGAGAGTAAATGACCATACGATTTTGAAAACATTGGTCCACATTCCTTTTCAATAAAGCTCTAGAGCTCCTTCCCCTCAGTCTTCAACTACTTGCAACCTTCTTTTATTAATGTAAATTCATATCAAATCAAATCCCCAAGCATTTCTCAGCCCTGCAAACAACAGCACAACGAAAATTCTTACACGTTTCCAAAGCAAAGAAAAACAAAGCAACTAAATAAAATTGTTTGCACTTATTGATTGTAAGTAAGTATATATGCGTCTATATGTTAAGAGTTATAAAACCTAGCAAAGCGTTCGGTGGCCAACAAACGGGGAGGGAAAGAAATTAAAAACTCAGAATTTCATAAACCTGCGGCAAGATTTCACATGTATCTCTTTCCCAATTCCAAAGATTTCCTGACAACGGAAAAACGGAGACAGCAATAAAGTGTAATATAAATTAGCGTACCTTCAGTTTGTTTGGTTAACTGGAAATTTCAGTCGGGGATTTGAATTGGTTTGGTTTTCGCGTGCTTGAAGAGTTTTCAGAGGGTTTTTCTTTCACTCAAGTCTCTCAACAGTCCAAGTATGAATTTGGATCGATTTGTTTCGGGCACCTAGAAATTATAGAGCGTGTAAACGAGTCGGATCTCAGTCGGATCCTATTTCGTTCGGTTACGCACTTGGATCCAATTTGACGTCGTGCTTGCTGCAGTCTCTGTGTTAATTTGCCCCCGACCCGATGGATTTAGGGTGCGGCACGTATATATAAAGGTTGCTCCCGGGGACACCAAATTTGTATCTTAAATGGTGTGGCATATTAAAAATTGTTTAGATTTAAAATGAAAGTAGTTATTAAAAGCATCTACAATGGGCTCCCTAAATCACTTTTTTATACAAATTTTAGGGAGAAATTGTAAAAATGCAACTCCAACTACGTTCCCTATCCGCCTCTTAAAATAAGGAGTCCTCTAAGAGCTCATAAATCTGAGAAGAGAGAAATAACTCTAGTGACTCCCTATAATTTAATGCTGCTTTATTTAATGAGTATTTTAAACATTTATTTAATTCTAACTATTTTTTATTTTATTTTTTAATAGAGATAGACCAATCAAAAAATAGTTATAGCATTTATAACTCTCCAAATTATGGAGTATGATTGGAGTTGAAATTTTTTAGAGAGCTTCTAAAATAACTTTCATATATTTTTAGCTAAATTTTAGCTAAGAAATAGAGAGTATCATTGTATATGCTTGTTTATTGTTAAGTTTCTATTTTTACTACAAATTTATTAAACTAAACGTCATTTTAAACCTTGTCAACAAAGATAACATTTTTTTTTTCTTTGTCAACAAAGATAATTTATACTTCTTTTGCCTATTTTAATTTGATTTATATTCACACAAATTAAAATTCTATCACAATATTTCATAAATTGGTGTGATTGTTTGTAAAATTGTGATAGTATATATTAGTTTTTAATAACTTATTGTAATTATATTTATTCCATTATTTTCCCGATAACAATTTACCCATTCAGCATAACTTTTTTTTGGGCAAACATTCAACGTAACTATTTGACCCGTTAAACCCAAATACTACTTATTTGCTTGAAAAAGAAAATAAATAAATATATAAAAAAACATGACCGGATATAGCCGTTCGGCTATACTATTTCTTTGATAAAAAAATTAGAAATAACCGCGTATAACCGCTCGGCTATACTATTTCTTTGAATTTTTTAATAAAAAAAATCTGAAAACCCGAGTGTAGCTAGAAAATTAGAAAAACTCAAGTATCGCAGCGCGGCTAACTATTTATGTTCTAAAAAAATTAGACAAAACCGAGTATAGCCGTTCGGCTATAATAAGAAATAAATGAAATAAAAACCTCGTATAGCCTTCCGGACATACTATTTCTTGTAAAAAAATTAGAAATAACCGCGTATAGCCGTGCGGCCATACTATTTCTGTTTAAAACATTTAGACAAACCCGGGTATAGCCCGTCGGCTATATGATTTTTTTATAAAAAAATAAACCGCGTATAGCCGACCGGCTATACTATTTCCTTGGGAAAATTTAGACATAACCCTGTATAGCCGTCCGGCTAGACTATTTCTTTGAAAAGAATTAAAAACCCGAGTACAGCCGCGCGGCTAAACTATTTCTTCTTTAAAAAATTAGAAAAAGGGAGTATAGCCGGTGCCATACTATTTCTTTTTTAAAAAATTAGAAAAACACGAGTATAGCCGGCTGGAATAACAAATTTGTTGTTAAACAAAACAAATTTATGTCCAATTTCACTTCCAGATGTTGTGACACAAAAGTGGTATCAGGATACACACCCAACGAGTATTGCAGGCAACGGAATAACAAAAGTGTCGGTCTTAGCCGGGAGCACATCTGCAGATCAGACTCAGAAGTACAGTTTTCTTGGCTTGATCTTCTTTGGGATGTCTCGTCCACTTTTGCTCCATCCATTGCACTATAAACTGTTGAAACTCAAACTATTAGGTATAATGAAATCAGCAATATCATCAATAAGGTAAACTTATTGGTCCATATCATCTCCATGAAAAGAGTAAGAGCATGCAGACTAGGTTGCTGGGTTTTTCTATATGTGGGCACAAAACTACTGTATTAAAGAAAAAAAAATGGAAAGTTCAATTAACAACAAAAGTGGGTTGTAATTGTATTGGGTATATAGGTATGATATATCCACCAAGAAAAAGGGAAGAGACTCCCAGAAGAATTTTGGGATTTTGCAAATGAAAACTAGAATGTTTTGAAGGGAAAGATAGGAGAAGTCAGTGAATGAGGTTTGGAGATGTAGTGATTTGAAAGAAAACTCCTACCTTGGCCTATGACTATGAGAGCTGTGAATACATCTGTTAAGGGTGGTAGAGTTTGGTCAGGGAGCTAGAGGAGATTAAAATCTTGGGTCATCTCAGCCCCACAACCCACATACATAACAAACCAGGTCCCAACCAAAACTCAACTAGTCAATGTCTTAACTCTAGCCCAACTCCTCCTAGTCTCAACTCTCTCTCTCTCTCTCTCTCTCTCTCTCTCTCATACTTTTTTAATCTCATACTTTTTTAAAAATAAAAAAATTTATACAAGCAAAGTGATATTTGGGGAGGATATTTTCTCACTCACACACTGTCAATGTGTCATGGGATTCGAACCTAAGACCATTGGTCTTCAAGTCAAGGCCTTTTCCACTGAATTAAACCTCGTTGGCCTTTTATAAGAGTAACTTTTTAAGCATATGTTATTAAAAGAGTTTAGGGTTAATTAGCTATGATTAGAGTGCATGGTTCATCAAGATGGTGATGGGCTCAATGGTTCTACAATAGAGGGAGCTACAATACATGATGATCTTTACATTCACTTATAGTGGACTCAGCAGAATATCCATCAACTGTGATTTCACCTAATTGGTTGCGACCTCACCAATCGGTGACAAGCAATGGCCCATCCAAAATACCAAATGAAGATTTCAAGGCTGTCTTTATGTCAGACTGCAGCAAACTAATTACATATGAAGCATGCACCTGGGGGACAAAGGTAATGCTCTGATATCTGTTTCACCAATATAATCTCATAATAAAACATAACTCCATAATAAGGTCACACACAAGAATCCACAACGAAACCTAGTAATATACAGATAAATATAAGGATTAACAACCTAATAGTCTTTCATTTTAAAAGAAATAGTATAGCCGTGCGGCTATACTTGGTTTTATCCTTCTTAAAAATAGTATCGCCGCACGGCTATACTATACGTATTTTGACATATGAGCGCCTAACCGCTATGCGAGTCCTCTTTTTTTTAAAAAAAATAAATAAATCGTATAGCCGCGCGGCTATATTTGGTTTTTATTTGTTTTAACAGTATAGCCGGGCGGCTATACCGATTTTGACACGTGGCCACAGTCGGTCTCTCTTTTTTAAAAATTAGTATAGCCGTACGGCTATACGGTTAACATATTAGAGTATAGCCGTGCGGCTATACGGTAAAAATATCTGTTGCTTTTCTTTTTTGTAATTAAGTGGTATCTTAGCCTTTTTTTAATTACTTTAATTAGTAATTATGTTTGAATTATTATTTATTTTGTGAATAATTAGTTTTAAAATATTTTACTAATTTCATAAAATACTTAATAAAGAGTAATTAATTATATTTACTTATCTTCAATAATTTTGGGGACTTTAAAATTATTTTTAATTTCCAAATATATTGTAAAAATTGTTTCAATTATTAGAAAATTATTTTAGTATTTCAAAAATGGATTTGAGCCTTCAAACCCTAAATCCAACCACAAAACTACTATGGGGCACTTATGACTTGATTAGTCCTGGATACTCATGTAACTCGACCTAGGGCTTTACGATTAGAATTTCGATTGCAATATACAATTAGTACGACATAACTGGACCTAACCCACAAGGTCCACCTTCCATATAGCATGTGTGGGAAGACTCCCACTTATAAGAGCAACTCCACCCATTTGCCCTTTGCCATAGAAACGGGGGGACATCAAGTCGCAC